GCGGCCGGCGAGCGGGTGCCGCAGCTCTTGGCCGCACCCAGGGCCTCCGCCGCTCTCAGCCGCGCCCGGGATACCCTCACACAGGCCGCGGGGTTCCGCCTGCGGATGTGGGGAAGCAAACACAGGCTGTCAGACGCAGTGTGCGCGCCCCTCCCCAGCTGCAGCCTGGCCCGGCCGGGTGAGGGCTGTGTGCGCGGGGGAAGCCAGGCACAGCCCCACCTCAGGTTTCCTTTTCTTTCTTTTTTTGTCTTTTTGAGACAGGGTCTCGCTGTGCAGTTCAGGCCTGTCGTGAGCTCACTTTGTAGCCCAGGCTGGTCTTGAACTCGCAACAATCCTCCTGCCTCAGCCTCCCGAGTGCTGGGATTACAGGCGTGTGTCACCACGCCGGGCCCCACCTCAGCTTTTCCACAGAGGTCAGTGGAATGACCCGGGGGCGTGCAGGCGCCCAGCACATGCCCAGCTTGGTAGGCCAGACAGCCTGTGGGCAGACGCGGCAGAAGCAGGGCTCCTTGGTGGTGGTGATGACCCGCGTAAGAGCGTGAGGGGCGGGAGAGGGCGGGTTCTGCCTGGTCGGGAAGGGAGCACTGGGGCTCTGCGGCAGGGAAACAAAGCAGGGTTCCGGAACCCACCGAGGGTGCGGCCCGTAGGCAGCCACACCTGCTTTTGGCGGACACGGAGGAATGCGCCAGAGGCCAGTGAGTCAGAGGTGAGGCCGCCCTCTGCGGACTGTGGCCCAGCCTTGAATCATCAGGCAGCCCCGACCTTGAACTTGGAAACGCTCAAGTTCAAACCCTGAACTCAGCATAGCGTGACCCCGACAGCTCAGGTACCCGTGTGCCTGGCAAAAGCAGATCGGAGTTGTGTGGGCATGGTGACAGCATCACCCTTAGCCTGCGATGGTGTCTACAGTAACACTCAAATCTGTCTCGCATGTAAGCAAAAATTATCAGAAACGCAAGTCATACACCATGGAAAAAGAGACGCGAAGAAATCCAGAGACCACATTATCAGCCAGAAACCATAAAATGAATGTGCTTATTATGCTCAAGGGGATCAAACTAGGCTCGTAAATTCTTTGCAACAACTGGAAACTATAAATTTGACAAGAGAGATTTTTAAAAGAGCCATCATGGAACTTCTAGAAATGAAAAACACAAAATTCCGAACTCGGAACTCATTGAAAGGTTTTAACCGCAGTTTAGACCCGGATGAAAAGAGAATTTGTGGACCAGAATGTAGGTCAAGAGATGCTGCCCACGTGAGAGGGGAGCAGGGCTTGAGAAAAGAACTGGGGATGGACTTCGTGCTGCTGTCTGTGTGTGCTTCTGAACAAGCTTGACAAACATGTATCGGATCAATTTATTTTTTTATTTTTACCGGGAATCGAACTCAGGACCGAGCACTTGCCAGGCAGGCGCTTTGCTGCTAAGCTTTATCCCCAGCCCCTCTCCACACTTTCAAAAAGAAAACTGCTGCTTTATTTTGATTTTTAAAAATACAATAATAAATCTGAAATGCATGAAAAGGGAGCCAGCTTGGTCTCCTACCTGAAACAACCAAAAAGTAAGAAAGAATTAAATGAGGATGCTGGTTTTCAGAGCCTGAACATCAGGTGGTGAGTGGTGGTGATCCAGGGGCGGGGGAGGTGGCCGCGGCCTGGCCACAGCTGCAGTTTCCGGGACGCAGCTTGGGGCCAGCGCCAGCCTGAGCCAGGCGCAGTGCAAGGTCCCCAGGAGGAAACCGGAGCTGCTGCAGCTTGCGGGATGAGGGAAGAGGGAAAGGGACGGACGCACCCTGGGGAGGGAAGGGCGGCCACACGGCAGGCAGGCAAGCTACCGCAGGCTCAGACAAGGACCGCCAGCGCTCGCAGCGCGGGTCCGAGTGTTACGGCAGCTGAGTTAGACAGAAATACTAGATAGGCTGTGGGCAGTCGGACAGGGCCAGGCCCTTGAAGGAGCCAGTGGGGAAGATGAGGTACCTTACAACTGGGGGAGACAGTTGTCCAGCTGTGGACAAAAGATTACACAGATGCGCCCACATACTTCCCTAGGGATGGACCTCAGGGCTTGGTATTCTAGTTTGTTTTTTTTTTTTGGTTTTTCTCCGGTACCGGGAACCGAACTCACGACCTTGAACTTGCCAGGCAGGCGCTTTGCCGCTGAGCTAAATCCCCAGCCCCAATGGCTTGATATTCTAAATAGGTAGCCATCACCTTGACAAGGCCGGGAAGAGTCACTACCCCAACCTCCTTCAGGAAAAGTCCCTGCTCTGTGTTCATGCTCGCTTGCTATGTGACTCGCTTCCCCATTTGGCCCTGATTTAATCAGTTTTACCTGAACAATTATACTTGTAATCTTATTGGCTGACCATAGTTTTGTCCCACCTCATGCCCTCCTAGCGAGTTCCCTTGTTTTCCACCTTGGACCTGGCTCACCTCATGGTTTTGCCCTGTAAAAGTCCCTAGAAAAGACAGGTTCCTGGGCAACCCGCTCGGGGGCACCCCCATCTGTCCCTCTCGGACAGAAGCTTTCTGTCCCTCAATAAATATATTCTGCTGTTAACCTCCGTTGTTCCTAAAATTCATTCTTCGATTTTAGAGAGCATGAAGTCATCCCAGATATCATTCAGGTTGGGTTTTCCCCTCTATATTACGAGGCGGCCCTGTTCCCTGGCTGGGAGGACTTGCAGCCCACGGGGTGAGGGGCAGTGCTGTCCACCTCAGGCACAAGTCCCAGAGGTAACCGGATTTGGGCAACTGAGATGAATTCTGATATCCAGCAGCCAACAAGGTGAAATTCCCAGTGCCTGGCATCTACTCAGAGAATACCAGACATTGGAGAAGCAAAGAAACAGCCTGCAATGGGCAGTAACTGAGCAGCCAGGCCCAGCTCTCACTGACCTGGGCCCCCGGCTGAGGTGGGTGGTGCAGCGGCCTGCGTGTGCAGAGGTTTCTGGAGCACAAAGAAATGAGCACGGACACGAGGCCACGGTGCCGGAAGCGAGCATGAGATGCGCGAACTTCCTGGTGGTTAACGTTCTGGAGAAGATTAGCGAACTTAAAGTCGAAACTGTCTGAAAGGAGACAGAGAATAAGGTCAAAATCAATAAAACATAGTAAAGATGAGAAAAAATTAAAAGTACAATTTAAAAATGCAAATTACCAGAAAAGAAATAGTAAAAGCCAGAGAAGAAAATACAAACCAGAAAACAGTACAATCTATGCATTAGTCACCTGTCCACAGTGGGACAAACACCTGCCCGCAGCCCACAGGAGAGGGCGGCCCCCTCAGCTCGGGCTTTGGCCCAGGAGGAGGAAGCAGAGAGGAGCGGGAGGCTGGGCAGGGCCCTGGGGCAGACACGGTCCCCACGGCCACACCCTGGCCCGGCACTGCTGTCAGCTCCACCTCCTGCTCCGCCACCTCCCAGTAATTCCTCCAGGGACGACCTCATTAATGGGCTGGCCTGCTGGTGACGTGGAGCCTTCCCATCTGTCATCTGTGGAAACACATGCGGACACACCCGAGCCGGCAGTGTGTCATTTCCTAGGCGTGTCTCAATCCGATCGATGCACTGTCCAAGCTAACCATCAGATCTGCACAAGCCAAAGCCAGCTCTCTGAGAAATCAGTGAACTCAGCAAACCTCTTGTCAGACTGCGGAGGAAAAGCTGAGAGAAGGTGCCGACTAAGTGTCAGGAGTGAGAGGGGGCCTGCCCGTGGACAGAGAGCCCCGGGCTGGCCTGCCTGCAGGCCCTGCAGGTAGTAAAAGGACGGTGACGATTCTGAGCAACACCTTGCAGTAAATGTGACACCTGGGTGACGCGGACAAACCCCTGGAAGACGGAAACTGCGCACGCACCGATAGGATACCTGAGTACCTGTGTCAGTGAAAGCTTTGAACGTTTATTAAAGACACTTCCCTAATTAACAGTCCAGGTCCAGAGGGCTTCAGGGGTGACTTCTACCAAGTACCAGGGGAACGAGTTACACTGGTTCTGCCCAGACTCTTGGAGAAAGCTGCAGAGGCGAGGGCCGCCGCCCAGCTCGCAAACTCGAGGACACAGGCCGCAAGCAGGGCGCCCGCCCGAGCTCCTAAGAAGCAGGCACGGCCTTCCCAGCTCTCTTTCCGCAGTGCTGGGTGAGCCCCGGGCCTCAGTGTTCTGGTCAAGTTCTCTACTGCAGCCTGCTGGTTTTTGTTTGTTTGTTTTGTTTTGTTTTGTTTTGTTTTGAAAGCAAACCAAACCTACTGGTGTAGAAGAACAGACAATATAGCACGAGCAACCGCGGTTTGTCCCGGGACTGTCTTGGCGTTTTAGAAATCCCCTCTCTGTGATTCACTGTATCTGCAGACTCAAAGTGAAAACCAGCTGCCCAGCTCAGTAGGTAGAGGAAAAATTTTTACAAATCAATGTCTGTTCCCGATTTTTAAATTTTTAATTTTATTTTATTTTTTGTCTTTTTGAGACAGGGCCTCACTATGCAGTTCAGGCTAGTCTTGAACTCACTTTGTAGCCCAGGCTGGCCTCAAACTCGCAAGGATCCTCCTGCCTCAGCCTCCCGAGTGCTAGGATTACAGGCGTGCACCACCAGGCGCTGCAGAACTATGATTTTAAAAATGAAAAGGACAGGTGTTGGTGAGGACGGGAGACGGTCACACTGCTGGTGGGCGGTGGAGCTGAACTGCTGGGGAAGAGTTCTGGACCTCTCAGAATTGCCAAGTGACAGGAGAGTGAAGGACAGGTCTCCCGGGACTGTTTGTCAGACAGCCAGCAGTAGGGTGGACAGTAGCTAAGACGTGGAGGTGACCAGTGCCCTTCGAGGAAGGACCGGACAAGCTAACGTGTCCTAGTCACATGCGGAATAATATTTAAACTTCACAGAGAAGGAAATTCTGACCAGCTAAATGTGAACATACCCTGAGGGTGATAGGCCGAGTAAAACAACCCAGTCACAAAAAGACAAATACTGAGCCCAGTGTGGTGGTGCATGCCTTGGAGGCTGAGGCAGTAGGATCACAAGTTTGAGCCCAGCCTGGGCAATTTAGTGATTTAGCAACACTCTTAAAAAACAAAAAAGGGCCAGGGAATGTAGCTCGGTGTAGGCTCTGAGTTCAATACCCAGTAACAGAAAAAAAGAAAAAGACAAATCTGTGTAATTCCACTCAGATGAGGCACCTAGAGTTATCCAAATTGTAAAGACGGACAACAGAAGTGGGAGGAGAGGAAATGGGTAGTTGCATTTTAGAGCATAGAGTGTGGCAGATGCCTGTGATCCCAGCACTCAGGAGGCTCAGACAGGAGGATCACTGTGAGTTTGAGCTGGGATACCCAGTAAGACCCTGCCTCAAAAAAAAAAACGAATTAACGGTTGTTAACCTCCTATTATCTTGTTTTGAAGTTTTGGCGTTTTTTCTCTTTAAAATAAAATTTAAAAACAACGAAAAGTAGAGTTTCAGTTGTGCAAGATGGGACGAGTTATGCAGGTGGATGGTGCTGACGGTCACAGCGCTGTGAGTGTGCTTGACGCCGCTGAGCGCTGCTTGAAACGGTCGGGGTGGGGACGTCCGTGTTCTGCTCTGTAGAGCTGCATCCCGGGCCTGTGATGCCCGTCACACCACACGAGCACCGTGAGAGACAGCGTGGCGCCTGTGGCCTTTGGCCGTGTCATAGCGCGTGTGGCAGGAGCACGTGTGGGAAGAGACACGGGCAGAGGAGAGCGGGAGGGAGGGAGGGAGGGGAGGAGGGCCGCACTCCCGGCGGGGGTGGGGGCCGGGGAGGCAGCACCCTCGAGGCCCCAGCCCCTCTCAGCGCCCTGCACAGGGCCACGCTCAGGCACGTGGACCGTCCCAGGGCGGCCCAGGCCACTGGACCTGCAGAGGACGCGAGCCCTGCAGGACGCTGGCCTCAGGGAGCCATCCTCTGGCACCTCAGAGGTGCTGAGCAGGCCTGACCCTCGGAGTCGTCCTGGAGGACTCCGAAAGTGAGTGTGGTGCAAGCACAGCTGGGAACCGGCCCTGCTGCCCGAGGCGCAGGCAGAGACACGGCCCCACAGCGGCCCTGACACCAGAACGGCCCTGCTCCAGAGACTCGCCAGCTCCTCCAGGGGCTGTGGGGTGCGGCCGACAGGGTCCCGAATTTGGGCAGGGAGGAGGCCGCCTGTGGCCGGGTCTCGGTGTCCCAGCGGGGCTCAGCTGTGCTGTTTGCGATTTTCGAGGGGCGAACAGCGCCTGGCTGTGCTGCTGGCCGACCCCGTGGGGCGCTGCTCCGAAACCTCGACCGCCCCTGTGGGGTGGCGCCGCCAGAGGGGAGACCTCCCAAGGGACGCGGACATGCGCGTGCCCTGGCGGAGCCTGGTGGCCTGTCCTGTCCTGTCTGCAGGG